ATAGCGCGTCTCAGGCTGGTTTTTATTTCAGTTGATATTTTCACTCTCAAATTTAGTTTGAAATCAAATTTATTTTGTGGAAGGGGGGGGGGGGTGGGCTGATTGTTTATTTAGTTAGTACAGAGGGAAATGGTTCGCATGTTCCGATTTATCTACGGAGTTTGTAAAAATTCTAAAATTTCAAGATCCAGACATTATATGTTAATAATAATAATAATAATAATAATTGTAGTTCCTGCGAATCGCAGAGGAGCTATCAGTAGGCTTTAACAGTCCATTTCTATTATCTCCCCACATTCCAGACTGTGTTATTTTGTTGAGCGAAGCTCTTTTTGCGACTCAAGGCCGTTTTTGTGCGTCTAGAACTTTCACGTGGTACCACTTTTGCAGCCCAATTTGGTCAGGTTGTGGTAGACCTGAAGCTAGAGGTCAAGTGAGAGCTCGTCCTCACACACTATCATTGCCATGGCATGGGATCGATTACACGATCTGACGATTCTAAAGTGCACGCCTTACCACTATGCTAAGTGCCCCCATAGAATAAAACCAAAAAAGTAAAATATTTGAACAAACTCCAAAATCATTCGATCAACTTCTTTATACTCGCCTGTAAGTCGAACGGGAAGTGAAGCACTTCTAGTCGGCACTGGAGGTTGACCCGGAAGGGCTTCAGCACCAGTACCTCCCCGTCGTGCATGATGGACGGCGGGGCGGGGAAGTGTTCGTTGAAGTGCTCGTCCGACAGCTGGTTGAAGAACATGATGTCTGGGATCCACATGTACTTGGACTCGAAGTCCAGTCTGTTGATACCCCCGAACTTACTCGGATCCCACTGGATAAACTCGTTGTACCTGGATGGAAGTTAAGAATTGACACTACTGCTGAGCAGAAACAGAAGACCACGAAAAATTAATTTTAAAACACAAGTCAATTTTTTCGTTATCGGAAACACTTAACGCTCAATAATTGAGATAGTGGTTTTTTTTATAAAAAGATAGAAAAATTTTTATAACAGAGATAAAAGTTTATTGAAAACACAGCTTTAGCGGCTATAATCTCATCACAAAAAGATCAAAACACGAAAGGTCAATTTTTTTTATAAAATAGTATTGCTGTGAATTATTAGAATGAGAAAGTACTGCTGAACTGTTAGTTTGCTCACACATAAAACCCGTTTTTTTTGCATCAATCAACCTTTTAAAATTTAGTTCTTCACCATGGTAGACCAATATGCATCAAAATTTTTGCTTTAAAGTTTCAACTATCAAAATTGCCGAATGTCTTTTTTATCGCGATTGAAAATAGTTATCTGGTAAGATTTTTCGTGAAAGGGTCTTTAGGAATATAATAAAAACATGAAATTTCAATGATGTCAGACGAGCTTTGGAAAACGTGGTAAAATAGCCATGTTACAAAATACTTCATCATCAGTTTGCATGATTCTTAAAAAATTGATTTTTTTTGCAAGTAAAAAAAAAATTTACAACAAAAGCAACCAAAAAACATGCCAAAAGGGAAATGAACCAATTTTTTGACTACTCATTCATGATGTGAGGTGGTTATCGCAACCGTTTCGATTGACTTAAACTGAAGCTTATTAGTTTTACAAAAAAAATCAAAAGAGGTTTTTGAAATAATGGAAAACCAGCGACAAAGCAAGAAACACAAAACACAGCCGACATTCTCCTAAAAAAAGGCGCGCAATTAGGGTTTTCTCGAGGAGCGGCAGATTTTCAAAAATTTCTAAGTTTTCGAAAATTTTGTTGACCTTTTTTTAGTTTCGGCACTGTTATACTTCCGCATTGTTGTAAGGCCCTGAACGAACTACAAGGACAATTTTCCGAAACAAAAACCCGGAAGATCTATTTAAATACTTTTTTTTGAACAATCATAACTCTTAGAAAAAACGACAGAAAAAAAACGTATCGAAAACTAAATCATAAATCTTCTCGTTTTGTATCTTTTTTACTCATTCGAGATTTTCCCTCACTTTTTCCTCTCATTTAGCACAATTTAATTGACAAAGATTTTAGAATAAATTTAGAGGCTCTGAACCGTAGAAGGTATTCATTTGAAAAACATTTCAATAACTTTAGAGCCGACTCGATTGAAACTGGCGTCAAAATTTAAAAAAAAAGGCATGCATGAAGCCATTTTACTTCTCAAATTAACCTAATTTATGACGATATTTCTTTCTTATCATCTCTTTTTTCGTTTTTTTTAATACTGGGTTTTACGTCACCAAACCAGGCTTTATAATTAAGCACAAAATTGTTTCACAATCAATGCCTTTGATTATCACATTCACCCGCTTGGAATGATTTAGAAAAAGCAGAAACAAATGATTCGTACACAATAAGCAGACAACTTTATTAATGTCAGTGGAATTCTTAGACTAATCAATTTTAGCAATTGAAACGAAATCCACCAAATGTAACTAAATCTGCCGTACTTTTTTTCAAACTAGTTTATTTTGTCTGTATATCTGCAATTTTGAACAAAACTTTGCGTTATGGTGCTTCATTCCGCAAATTTAATGTGGGTTAAGTGATTTGTTTATTAAGATGAGCAAAACTGCACGCATCAGGACGAAGCCCTAAATGATTCGATTGCGTTTTAATTTCTATAAAACAGCTCAACTATTGATAAATTTTGCATTTAGCAAACTATTAGTTAGACTGAAAAGCATGCCTCAATCCAACTTAGAACAATTTATAAGACAGATTAAATCTGCGCTTACGCTTTAAAACATGAAATATATGTTGTTAAATGTGTAAAAAAATGAAATATAGAGTGTTAATGTCTCAAACTAGCCAAATTGTTAATCTTTAAACACCCCTTATTTTGCAAAAATTTAACCACAGGTAGAATATTTTTTCAAACTAAACTCAGGACAACAAAATGCTTCAAATGATATGAAAAAATTCCGTCAAAAAATGCTATTCAAGAAGTTGCTTTGTCTGAAGAAAAAAAATCACCCCGAGCACAAATGTTCGGTCACTTTCTTCGAAATCTGTCGGAACAAAAAAAAGCTCTGTCTCTTTGAGGATTTTAAAGTATTTTTGAGAAAGCCAGCTACGTTACTGAAATTCACTTCGCGTGTGTCGGTATAGTTCAGAACAAGAATGGTAAAGCATTTGGCTATAAAATGAGAATTTTTGTGTTTCCAGTTAATTTATCAGTATCCAAAATTAGGGTTCAAAACTCATTGTTTCGTATCTGACTTAATCAATTCAATCTAGTTTTGGCTTCAAACAGTTTTCGGCATGCAAAAATTGATTCAAATTTTGTTAGTCACAGGAAAGGTGTCCAAGGAATCCAGATTACCAATATTCCAGATTGCAATCATAACCGAGCGTGGTGCGTGGTAATGTAGGTCAGATGCACGAAAAATCATCAGAAAATTTTTGTTAGTGAATTTCTTCCTGTTTTTTGCTTTAAAACGAGATCATTAACCGCGGTGGTGTCTCTCATGGTGCAGGGTAAGAATGTTAAAAAAAATTTTAAACTGTTTTCAGCCAATCAGAATATAGCTTTCAAAAATCTCAAAGCAAAAGGTAATCTCAAAAATCTCAAACGAATAAAAACCAACCACGAAAACTAATATTGATTAATTAGAAAACCAACAGGTACATGAGTTTGTAAAAATAGCAAAATAATAGTATTGATAAAAACCAAAAATTGATTTTAAAAATGAAAAATAAAACGAAAACATTATTGTCTATCTGCTCTAAATGTACAGTAAAACTATGATGTGCTGTTAAGTCCATTTTATTAAATATTTAATTTGGTTTTGAGAAAACGTCATTCAATCAATAGGAAAGCCTAATGATTCTGATTGGTTAAAAGTTTTCGATCATTTGGTTCCTTCATCATGATAATGCTCCCCGTTAAAAATGACTCTGACAAAGATATTAGAGCGTGTGAGCAACATGAATTTCATGAAAAAAACACAGTTTTTTTTAACTTAAAAGGACTTGAATTTACTCATTATCTTGCTTTCACTGACAGATCATTTTAATTGTGCACTGTTTTGCACTAGACATTTTCAGCAAATTGTGATCAAATTTACAGAAAAAACTTCAAAACCTACATCTAGCTTTGCTTTTTTTGTACCTGAATATGTAAAATTTTTCACTTTTTTTCTTTTCAGCTATAAAAACATTGGAAGCTGATTTCTTCTGACACTTTTGAAGCTATTTGGCATTCATTTAAAAGCTTGCTGCTGAGGTCAGCTCAGATTATCAAAAATGTGAAAATGCAAAAGAAATTTCAAAAAAACTACAAACCGTTTTCGAACATCAAATATTTATTTGCCAGACATAAATTGGCGTTTTGATCTTAAAAAGAAATCTTATCTTTATTCTATCTTCTTGATTCGATTTGCCTGATAATTTTCAAGCACAATTTGATTCACAAAACTGACGTAAAAAATTGAAATACGTCTTCTTGTTTAAAAAATTCAGGTTTAGCTTCGAATTATTCTGAAGGAAATGAAATAAAAACTGCTATTCTTGGCGGCGAAATGGTTTTGTTGGCCATAAATTAAGAACACATTTCATCTCAAAATGAATAATTAACCAGAAGTACCACAGCAACATCAAAGGATCATCATTTTTTTTTGTTAAATGCTTGGAAGAATAAAAATTAAATATACAATTGAGACTAAATTATAACGCGAAAAAATCACATTTTGAAAAAGTATACCACAAAACTATTTTGTAAAAGTTCTAAAAGCAAGGTTTGCATGACATCAAGTTCTAAAAAGAGAAAAAAAAGTTTGATACAGGTTGAATATAACATTTTCCATGTGTTGAGGCGGTAGCTTACAACTTTTGTTAGGTCATACCAACTTGTTTTTTGAGGTATCCCAATACATTTTTAAAATCATTGTGGAGCTTTTTGAAAAATTTATTAACCACTGTTTGAAAACTTGCGACCAAAAATATACGCTTACAAAAATTTAAGGCAGGTCGACCAAAAATGGATCATGAAATATAGAACCGAAAGGGGACCACTTTGTGTAGGCAAAAGTTGGAGTCCCTGAGGAGTTCAAGGAGCGCCTCCCTCCCTCTTAATCCGCTCCTGATTTTAAGAGACTCACGCTCTAGCGATTGTAAAAAATGTATTTATATACATAACTTGAGTTTATCAATTGTTCAGTTTTGGTTTTCTAAGCTTGAAGAACCATGAAAAACGAATTATTTTGATTGCAAGCTGATAGTTAAAAACTAAATGCAACTTCTTTCAGAAGCAAAACAAGTAGCATGTAATCCAAGCTAGCGGAAGAACCAATCTTACAAAAATCATTAGCTCAATCGAAACCTTTTGAATAACACTCCGCGCCTATTTTATTGACCAAGTCTCCCACAAGGTTCAAAAACAGCCTCTTGATAAAACTGTCGATGTTCTAACTGGATATAATAAATAATAATTGGTAGAATTTGGCAGTATTTTCGAGCGGGCGGTCTAAATTATGGCTCGGTGTTGTACCAATACACCAAAAGTTTATTGCAGCTCTTATACGTTTTCATTTGATTCTTCCGGTTGAGACCGTTTGACATGTAAAGTTTTAGGATTCCTTTGAACAATCGACACATTTTTGAAAACAGCAACCAGAATGTCAAATCTTGCTCAAAAAAGCTGATATGAGTACATATTTACTGCGAAAGCAGTACACGGATTATTAGGACATCAAGCTTAACATTTGATGATTATGTACTACAACCATTGCGACAAAAATTAGGTGCTAATTTTTTTCTGATTTTGATGAAAAGGACAGAAACTTTGTTGTCGGCGCACAGTGCTTATTCAAAATATCTGGACAAACGAATAAACCTTGAAATTTAAA